GGTCTCCAACTCCTGGGCTCAAGCGATCCTCCTTCCTCGGCCTCCCAAAGGGCTGAGATTCCACCGCACCCAGCCCTCCTTTCTTCAGTTGTAAGGTTATGTGTTCCAGTTCGTGATAACGGCTGTTTACTAGCTGGCCTTCAAAGTTCCTAAAACTTTCCTGGTCTCTCGAGCGGATACCAGCCGGCCCCCGCACTCCTCTGCGTGTGTTATAAAAGAGTGCCTCTCGCAGACTAAGATGGCCTCCCCCAGCTGTGGTTTCTCCAGGAGGCGCAGGTGGGCTGGACCAGAGGGGCAGAGGCCAGGTGTCAGGGAGGGACTGCTGGCGTCAGAAACCTTTGCTCTGCTTGGGCTCTGACCTCTGACCCTGACACCACTTCTCACATCAACCCCAGACTCCTGGGGCCCCCCTCCCCCCCTGCCAAGATGTGGAGGGTGTCATGAGGCCGGCCCTGCACCTAACTCGAGGTGGACACTCAGCGACACATTTGCTGAGTGACTGTATGACCTCGTGCAGTGTTGCTGGGTGCCGGAAAGTTCTCCCGAGGTGTGTAAAGACTTGGCATACGGGAACTGAGTCTCAGCAGCTCCCCCGGACTCTGTCCCCTGCCGACCCTCCCCACCACGTGCGGTTGCCGTTGCTAGGGCCCAGCCATGCCCTCCCGCCCACCCTCCGCCCTCTGAGGAGCCGTGAGGACAGCCGTGAAGTGTGCCCGGCTGGCTCTGAAGATGTGTCAAGTGCCCCCGAGGCCCGGTGTTGCCACCTCGCCAGGCCTCTGCTGACACGGCGCTCCCCTCAAACACCCTCCTGCCCCCCACGTCATAAGCTCTTGGAGCCCTCTCTCATCCCTGGGGTCTCAGTTGTTCCTGTGCCGTCTGCAACACGGTGCATATCTTCCTGCAGCTTCTCCCTGGGGGCTCGGGGGTGGGGAGCGGACAGGCGCAGGGGGAGCCCGCAAGTCAGCCCAGGTGGCAGAGCTCCAGCGGGAGGAGCCTGCTGGGAAGTGCTGCGTGACCTCCTGCGAGTGACTCTACCTATCTGTCTCCGTGTTCTCATCTGTGCACCGGGGCTGTTGCCCGAGTTGTTGGAGGGTGCGAGAGGGGGCGGCCTCGGCGGATGTTGAGCTTGGACCCCTCATGGTTTTGTTGAGATCATGTCCTGGTCTGGGACTCCAGGCTCTGGGTGACGGGCAGCTTGTTCAGACTCGGGGGTTGGGGTCCCTCGGGGATCCGAGCCGATGGCTTCCGCAGACCAGGAGCTGCCTGGCTTTTCTGCAGAGCTGTGCTGTGGCTTGAGGGGACATTCCCAACCCAGCTGCGGGCATCGGGCCTGTCGCCCCACGCGCGCTCGGTCTGAAAAGCAGAGGTGACCTTGGTGGAAAGCCTCAGAGGCCAACCTCTGCCGTGAGCAGGGAAGCATGGAGCGCCTGGCCTGGGCTCCGACTTCCTGCTTCCTCTTCCTTGGTCCCTTGAGGCCAGGAGGGCTCCCGTGGGTGTGACCTGCTGCCCAGGGCGAGGGTCTTGTGTGCTTGGTGAGACAAGGACCCTGGAGGACCAGCCCACGACCTCCCTGGAACTGGTTAGCTGTGTGGAGTCCCAGGCCCGAAGCAGCCCCCCTGAACAGGAATCTGCATTTCACCACACTCCGGGGAGGCTGTGCACCTGCTGATGTGAGGGTTTGAGCATTGGATCTGGGGTGCCCAAGCCGTGGCCAAACCGGGCCCCGCCTGTTCCCACAGGGCTTATTGGCAGGAGCCACCTCCACTTGTGGATGCAGAGGCCGCCCTCACTCCGCAGTGGCAGTGTAAAGCGGTGGCAACGGGCTGTGGATCTCGTGGCCGTCCCAGGCGTTTATCATGTGGCCGCCACGGAGAAGGCCACTGCCCCTGGGAGGCGCTGGTTCTCAAGTTTGACTGTCTCCTGGACTCACGGAGCCTGGGTCTTGGCCTCGGGTGCAGGGATGGCCTGGGTGCCAGGACTCTGCAGAGCTCTGGCCCCTGACGTGCAGCTGGGCTCGTGGGACCTGCAGAATCCAGGCTCTGAGGCCCCGAGGCCCAGTGGGTACAGGCCTGCCACTGTGCGCCACGGCACGGTCATGTAGGGCCTGCCTTGATGTCACCGCACTTGCTGTCCCTAGACGCGACAGGTCTTGGGCGCCGAGCCGGTTGACCACATTCACCGGCGCCTCTTGGGGAGCTGGGCGCTGGCCCCGCCCCCTGCACCAGCCTCCTGGGAGTGGGTGGGAGGCCCTGAGTCAGCCCCGCCCCTTGGGTCCCTTGGGGGGGGGCAGATGCCCCGAGCCAGACCGATGACCTTTCTCACTGGAAGGCCCGTTTCTGGGCCGGCTGCCCGGTCGTTCTCCCTGACCCCTCAACGCAGGACGCCTCTGCCATGGGAGTTGGGGTTCAGGCCCCAGGGAGTGTGGGACCTGTCCACAGGGCTCTGGGGTATGCCAACGGTGCTGGGGGTGTCACTGCAGCCACGCCGCCCAGAGGGAGTGGGAGGCACCTGCCCCTGCCTGGGACTCGTTAACTGTCGGGGGTGGCAGTGCCTGGTGCGCACACCTGCTGTGGAGGGGCGGAGATTGGGGCCAGGTTCTGGGGCCTGCCCCACGGGACAGCCAGGGCTTGGGTACCCCGTCCCAGGCCATCCGAGCCGGGGCCAGGGTGGGGCCAGGAGGGGTGGAGGCCCTGCAGCTTCTCTGCTGGTGGAGCAGACCCCAAGGGCACCCCGTGTCCGAGCTGAGAAGGACAGGGAGGGCACCGGGAGGGTGTCTGGCTCGCCCCTCCTTCCCGCCTGGGGTCCTTCTCCGCCTGGAAAGTGGCTGACAGCCGCCCTGGAGCACACAGGGGCCTGCTGGGTTTATTTTTATTTCACTTGGCTCCTTGGATGGAAAGATGGTCTGGTTTGGCGGGGCCTGCAAGGAGGACCTTGGGGTGGCCAAGAAAACCAGGCGGGACCGAAGGGAAGTCGGGAGGCAGCGCTGGAAGGAGCTGACTGCTCATGCTGCCTGGACGGGTGGGCGTGGGGGGGCGGCGACAGGAGGCCCCGTGAGATGGCTGACTTGAGCCCGTGTCTCTGTCCTCCGCCCTGTGAAGTGGGCCTGTGTGGGAGGGAGCCCACCCCCAGGCATCAGGAGCGCCATCGGCATGGCGGCTCTGGGGCTGGGGGCGTCCTCCCTTGCTCCCGTTCTACAGATGTGAAGACTGAGGCCTGGGGGAGGCCAGTGCTTTTTGTCAGGGGAAGACGGGGCTGGGGCTCAGGGTCTGACCCAG